GTATTGGTTTTACTATGATGTGTTTTTTTTTTTTTTTTTTTGTGTCTGTTACCACTTTTTCTCAGCTCTCACCGAACGGATTTCTTTCAACGATACGTCAAAAGATCACAAATCGTATCTAGTCGAAGACATTACCCTTCAAAATTGAAAAAATTTCCCTCGTTCCCCGTAAATGGGGGAAACCTCCAAAAAAATTACAAATTTAAAAATCGCTAATTTTCGAAATTTTTTCAATTTTTTTTACTAAAAACTGCCNGATAAAGTCTCTGCCAAATGATTAGTTTGACAATTATTCATCCATAGTTTCAAACGATCGTTTTCTTTAGGATAAGAAAAAAAGCTTTTATCCTTGAAGGAATATGTACTTGGACAAAACTTTACTGAGCATCGCATACTGGTGAGGTAGTGAGATATTTTGAAAGAAAGCACCAAATATAACACGAAATAAGATACATGTGATCATTGACAACATTAACAATAACAATTGTTACTGCTCAAGTCAAATTTAAGTAGTTAATAATTTACATTATAAAAACTGATAATTATTTAATTTTCATGACTAATTTAGGGATTTTGAGTCATAAATAAGGGATTATGGGTTTAATACCTTAATTTAATGATGTATTAAAATAATTTATGTCAATAATTATGTTTATATACGGAATTTCATAATATTTATGCTACAGCAGATTTAATAATGAAATAAATTAAAAGAATTTTTGCGCTCATACATATGGTTGCACTGATTTCACTTCTCCAATCAAAAAACCGTTTTGTTATCGGGCCAAGTGAACTATCTGTTTTCATATAGTCTGTGGTAATGTTAAGAGGACGCCATACGGCCAAACGAAACAACGATATGACCGAGAGAATGCGCTTTTAGATGTTTTACAACCGAACTCCTGTACGGCCGTCTAATATTATTTTGGAGCAGCACATCATTCTACTATTGACTGTTACGCTATGCGTTACATATTATTTTCATTGATAAAGGCGATAAAGCTCTCATAATATAAAACAAAATGAATATGTAATTGTAATAAAATATCATAGGATTATAATATGATAATGATGTATTTATTTTTTTTTTTTTTGTGTCTGTCACTACTTTTTCTCAGCTCTCACTGGACCGATTTCTTTTATCAATACGTCAAAAGATCACAAATCGTATGTAGTTGAAGACATTACCCTTAAAAATTGAAAAATTTTCCCTCGTTCCCCGCAAATGGGGGAAATATCCAAAAAAATTACAAATTTAAAAATCGGTAAATTTTGTCATTTTTTTCACTTTTTTTTCTTAAAACTTCCATAACTTTTTCAAAAATAAACAATCAACATAATTTTTTTTTATACTAAAACCTTAGATATTTCCTTTTCATTTGATATTATTTTTTTGAAAATTTAACACTTAACCTGCTCACTGGGGGGATTTAAAATTGCAACTTTTTTACAAAAACTAACTTTTTCAAATTAATTTTTGAAAATGTTCCGAAAATACTGCGCCCTTTAAACATATACCAAATTAAAGCTTATTTTATTACTGTAAAATGAAAAAAAAAATTTGACCCGACACTTTATCTTCTGCATGCAAACGGCTCCCGTAGTTAAAAAAACACTATTTTTGTGTTAAAATTTTCGATTTTCAATTNGCTATTTTGTGTTAAAATTTTTGATTACTATTTTAAATTTTCAACTTAAAAATACTATAACTTTCAATAATTTTTGATTACTATTTTAAATTTTCAACTTAAAAATACTATAACTTTCAATAATTTTTGATTACTATTTTAAATTTTCAACTTAAAAATACTATAACTTTCAATAATTTTTGATTACTATTTTAAATTTTCAACTTAAAAATACTATAACTTTCAATAATTTTTGATTACTATTTTAAATTTTCAACTTAAAAATACTATAACTTTCAATAATTTTTGATTACTATTTTAAATTTTCAACTTAAAAATACTATAACTTTTCGAAAAATGTAAGTATCAGTACAAATTTTTTTTTTCTAAATACATCTAAGTACATCTCTCTTTTGACATACTTTTTATTAAAATTGGACGATTTCCCTTATATAGGGGGCGTTCAAAACTTGAAACATTGTAATCAATGATTAAAAGTTATTAGGAAATGATGACTATTATTTCTATTTCAGTTATCTATTACGATAAAATTGCAAAAAAATCGAATTTTTCTGATAAATGTACTGTAAATAGTAGTTATAAAATTTCCTGATTGCATATTAATCTTAAAAATTTCATTTTTTTCTATTTAATAATGTCAGTTTCAAACTTGCAAGTTGAACTATAAGTTATGGTAACAAATTCATTTTTTATTATTAAAACTTTCACTTTAAAGGACAAAAAAAAGTAGGTTCAAAATGATTACTTTTAACATATTAAAAATCAAAATCAATAATAATATGAAAACAATTAATTTAAAAAATTATATAATGTATAATTAAAAGAATTACTAATCTGGGTATAATTAAGGAAATAGAAGTTGATGTTGCTTTTGTAATTATCCATCAATTTCTTAGAATTAAACACTATCTACAAATTTGCATCCAAGCGTTTCTTATGATAGTGATTTTAATCAAAATTTATCAAAAATCCCTTTATCATATATCATTTTTCTACCATTCCATTCAAATTCAAATTTCGAAAGAATCATTATTTTTAACTAACTTTAAATCAATCTAGGCGTGAAAAACCTGGTATGTGCAAAAAATGTAAATTAAAAATGTTTATCTCTGAATTAAAAAAATACGAAATAGCAGATTTTATTTTAGATTAAAAAATTTGTATACCAAAATGCTCATATAAAATTTAATTTAAGTTTATAATCACTATAATGCAAGTAAACTTAGTGCGTACGCCCACTTACAACAGANAAACTTAGTGCGTACGCCCACTTATAACATACATAAAATAAATGTATTATGTAAGGAGTATTCTATGTATAATAAATATATTTGTAGTCAATCAGAAATTTGTAAAATGCAGTTTAATAACGCCAAGGTCTATTATTCGTGTTACAAATTTTTTATAAAACTGATAAACGAGTCTTAAAACTCACAAAAAATGGTTTTAAGTGATACAATATACTACGTATAAATAAATTCAGGACTGGTAAACTTTAATTTAATACTCATAATTTTTAATGATGACCTTTATTTTTTTGGCAAATAATTAATTTTTGGAGAAAGAATATCTAATTTTAAATTACTAAAAAGACTATTACTACTAAAAAGATTTTGCAAAAGATGTTGATCAGTCCTGCTGCCCACGAATATAACTCATATTCGTAACAAGAATGTTTTCTAATGTTACACAATAAAACTCCACGTAAATTTCTGACAGATTTCCGATCAATAGATATTTTCATTATATTTGCATTATTATTTACGTGTAAAAATGAACACAGTAAAGTTAAAATTTAAGTCTCATCACCCGTCAATAATAACAATTATTTTACAAATTCAGATAAGCGACTACTAAATGGTACCCTGATTCGTCGATAACAAAGTATAAAAATAACTGGTTTTGATCGTCGGCAAGGTAGCAGTTGAAGGGTGAGAGTAATCGGTTACCGTCATTCAACAAAAAATTCGTCACGTTATAAATGCCACTAGGGACCGACACATGTCGATAGACAAAAAATTCATTATTTTGCATAAAAACTGTTTTGCGCGGGATTACTTTATTTGATCTGTATCGATGCTAGAGTTCCAAATTTTTTACCAAATTATAAAGAGAAAATTATCTGTGATCTAGCGTTTTTATAATTTTGATAACACAACTCTGAAGCTATTTATTAAACATTTAAAAAACCAAAAAAATAGGAATGTTTAATAGTAAATATAAAGTACTAGAAATTATGTTAACAAAAAAATAAAAACGCTAGATCACAGATAATTTTGTCCTCTATAATTTGGTAAAAAATTTGGAACTCTAGCATAAATACAGATCAAATGAAGTAGTCCCCCGCAAAATATGTTTAATCCCGTTTTTCATTCTCTGTATGGCGTCCTCTTAATATGTATTATGTATTAGTTAATTAGTAAAATCATTTTACAAATTTTGTGAAAACTATTGCTTTTTATTCATTGACTTCTTAAAATGAGTGTTTATAATTAAAGCGGGGAACAACTAAGAGGTCAACGGCCCGGCATGGGCTGTATGCAATATCAGAAAAATCATATGACTCAGTTTCCAAGTCAATAATGAAAAATTTGTTCTTACTGATTGTGCATGCGGATTAACTAACAAAATTTTAAAATTCATGTAATTTACAGCTCTGCCTATAACCAATTTTTAGCATGAAAAGATTTTGTTTTCTTTGTGCTTTTCTCAATACATATTTCAATGTANTGTGCTTTTATCAATACATGTTTCAATGTATGATAACATAAAAACAACACAAGAAAATTCAAATGTTCACAAACTTTATAATAGTATAGATAATTTAATACTGAACGTTAATAAGATTTTTTCGTACCAATTTTTTTTCTTAAATTCTACACTATAAAATGGTAATTAGGAAATTTTTTTTACATTTTTTGTAAATTAAAAAAAATCATTATATTCAATGATTAAAAATATATTATTTGTTATAAAATGTTTTTATTCTTCATGAATAATAGTTATTAATAAAAAAAAATTATACCAAATATTGACTGGATAAAAAGTTAATATTAAGCAATATTATAGTTGATATATCATCAACTGTATATCGTTGGCTTGGTGTGAAAACTCATTAGGAAATTTTTGTAATTTGCAATTTTCTTAAATTTTTAATTTTATATTAAGTAAGCTAGTTAAATACGCATGTTTTTCCATTTAAGATAAGAAAGTTCATATCCTTATAAGATATATCTTATACAAGGAATGACCCTTAAAACTACTTAATAATTGATTAATCAAGAAATTATGTAACTAAAAAAATTCAAATATTTATAATCAACATTATTTTTATTTTAGAAGTAAATAAGTTGTTTATGATAAACGATTCACTTTGTATATATTTATAAAACATTATTCAGCTAAGAAGTTGTAAAGAAATATCAACAGTTCTCCATTAATCAGTTACATCTTCAACTATAAAAAATTGTGTTCCTTCATTATATAAATAAATACATTTTTCTTCACTTATTTTAGAAAAATCTTTTTTAGGATATTCTTTAGGTATATATAACCAATTGCCCCGCGCTTTTTCATATATATAAATGCTTGTTTCAATAACAAAACTTGTAACTAACATTGTGATTATATCTACGTAAAGTACAAAAAATTAATATTATTATTATAATAAGGGAAATTCATTGGTTCTAGTGAATATCCAAAAATGTAACATTTTTGAAAATAAATTATGGAGGACTTGGACATGACTATTACTAATTACAAGAGTATATTTTAGCAAGAATTTCTAGAGTAAGCTAACTTAACTTCTATGTTGACGTTTAAAAAATTGTCAGGCTTCTCTTAAGTACTATGTATAGGGTTGTAATTATAAAACTGTGGCGTTAGTTCTTGTACCCTACCGACATGGGATTGATTCACATATACCCTCAAAACGTTTTGCATCANTACCGACATGGGATTGATTCACATATACCCTCAAAACGTTTTGCATCATTTCTGCAAACTGTTTACAATATTCATTATATTTAGATATAATCGTCAATTTACTGTACCATACGACTTATTGTAAATTCATATTTAATATTCTGAAGACTTTCGAATAATTTTTTGTACTGACATGTCACTTACATGGTATTTGTAGGTCCATTAATTATTATTTCATTCGAATGAGAGAACCAAAAATACATCAGCAAATTAAAGATTAGTTAATCTAAATATACCTATCATCACAATTGTGTCATAACTTCACGGTCGGGCCCATTTATTATGAGTGACCAAACAAGTCTTTTCATTGTTAGATCCCAGTGCAAAAAAATATTCGAAAGTCTTCAGAATATTAAATATGAATTTACGAAAAGTCGTATGGTACAGCCAATTGACGATTATATCTAAATATAATGAATAATATAAGTATAAATCGCTAATCCCAAATATGCAGTATTTATTATCAATTATGACTTTATCAACAGATATGATTTAAGTGTGGTCGTAAGGCATATTGCTGTGACTTACCATTTATAAATAGACCAACTAACAATACAGAAAACATATCTAATCATATCATAATTGACAATAAACACTTCGTATTTGTGATAACGACGTTATAAAAAAATTATTAACTACCTGTATTTGTAATCCCTTGGTATATTAACATATTTACATGTATATTAACTCAAAAACTTGAAACTTTATATGATTTTATCTTATAATAGAATAAAGTTATATTAAAAATTCAAATGCCATTTACTATTAAATTAAAAAGTCAAACATTTTTAAAATTCAAAATGTATTCCTATTTGAAAAAACATAGTTGATACCCTTTTTGATTTGTAGATCCTCTGTGGACAAAATGACGGTATCGTTTTGATTCAAATAATCGATTACGAAAATATATATTTTTTTATAACTATAATATTTTTTGTAACTGATTCAATTCAAAAAAGGGTATGGTTTCATAATTTCGTAATAAATTGTTTGAAATTGTGGGTACGAATTATAAAATGTCGAGAACATGCCTATGTCAAAATCTGCATTTTGGTTTCCTCGTCAAAATTTTAGTAGAACTTGATGTTACACCTGAAAGAATGATAAAACTCGCCATGAATCCATTTATTAGCATCTGTGACCATTGCTACTAGTAAATATTTAAGTTTTTCAAAATCCGAGAACGTACACATTGGTTGGGTTTATGAGTGGTTATTTGTGGTATTAAAAAGTAAACAGCCATATCCCTATGTTGAAACTCTAACATTATGGAATGAGAAATTTATCTATTTATGTCTTATATGCAAACGTTTGGATAATTCTTCATTTTGAAATTTATTTGGTTCCTGATTACGTATATCAATTCATACCCTATCCAACACATTTGTATTTAACAGGTAGTAAACTATTTTCTAAGAACCTCTATAATGTGGTAGTCTTGTGCTACGACGCTGGGAGAAAACTCATGTTTAGTATGAGATTGTTTTCTATTGTGATTTTAACCTAAAATATGATTGCAATCCACGTGAATAGACGTAATAGGTGTTTTTATTACTGGATAATCTGATACATGAGTCCTATGAAGTTGCAAATATCGAGAATTGAAACCCAATAAACAAAAAATGATCTATTATGTAAGAAATTAACAGGCTGTTCACGCGTTATTTCATAATGCATCGTCTAGTGATCTACAACATTTTGAACAATGAAATTAAATTTTTATGATTATCTTTTTCAACGATTGCATATTTAAAGCCAATTATCCGATGCTAACTGACAATTTACTAATTTAACATTTTCATACTTGCCAACTTGTAATATTCTTTAAAGTACGGATTCTTGCCCGGAAAATCTAAAAACAATTACATTTTTAGTTTCATCAATATTTGGCATTATGTTTCATATATGTTAACTCCAAATCCAATTTAACAGTTATCGTCAACGACAATACATGGTTGAAATCGGCATTCGATTTGAAAACACCGCCGGGCATTGTTATCGATGATGTTTTCGTGTTTGATGATATTTTTATGTTGCATAAGAAATAACAAACACAAGATTCTACAATTTGTTTCTTGGGAAATCTGATACATTCTGCACTTGTATGTGGTTTTAAAGTCTTTAAATATTGCAAAATTTTCAATGGCGTAATAAATTGCCAAAACTATTAAAGTATGGAACGTGTTCACCAAGTTTACTGTAAACTACACAATATGTATCACGATGTTCAATACGACCAAATTAATCACGCCCATTTCAATTGAACGCGGTGGTGTATAAGGTAATGTATCACGACAAAATACATTTCGAAATATACGTAGATCGAGCACGCGACGAGGCTTCGAGGACTAACGCCATAGTTTTAAAATATAATTTTAACCATATATAAATTAATGAATAATACTTAGAAGTAGCCTGGCAGTTTTTAAATTTTACTAAAAAGTTAACATAGAATATAAGTTAGCTACTAAAGAAACTCTTGTTATAATATACTCTTATAAAACTGAGAAATGGTAATATCCAAGTACATTAATGATATTGCGTAAGCATAGTCAATGCGTTGTATGTTTGATCATATCTCAAAAATAGTGACACAATGAATATTCAATTTTCTACTAACCAAATCTTTTCTCTTTAAATATTTATAAAAAAATTTTTAATATACCACTCTTTTGAAAGCCTTCCCCTCTGAAATATCTTTTTATGCTGTATGAATCTTTCAAGATTTCATGAATATAATAGCTGATACGTATAGCCTGTAAAATAAATTTATAAATTAATAGAAAATAGTACACGTCAATTTTTTAATGATGCAAAAACCTAACCCAGACAAGGAAATATTATAAATATGGTTATATCAATTATAACGATTAAAATGAATATTTATCAAAAATTGATCAATTATCAAAAAGTAAAAAACTAAAATGCTATATCAATAAATCTAAATAAACATTAAACATAATATTACTTAAAACAAAAACAAATTAATTTCAAACGCTATACTTAAAAAAATTCAAGTAAGAAAAATTTTCGAACCTTTTATTGTTAAACATAAAAATGTATTATCGTTAATACGTTAAACGAAAATAATTAAATAATGTTCAATGCCACCGGAACCGAATGTCAGTAAGGGCAGTTGCTTCAAAGTCAAAATACGAAAATATCATTTCACCATTAATTGAATTTGGCAAAAAAATTATCAATTATCAAGTGTCAATTTTTTTTTTTTTAATGACACAAATATATTTAGTTAGCTAATAAAATAAAAAATTATTGAATTAAAAAAATGACTGGTCAGTGACAACTTTAGATTATGTTATAAATAATCCGTACAAAATTTCAATTCAAAATAACATTTTTAACTTATTTTTTTGATCCTTTAAAGTTGATTTTTATAATAGTTAATTTAAAAATGTTGATCTTTCAAACACAATTTAGTTCTATTTGTAAGTTTAGAATTTATTTCATTAAATAGAAACTTTTATGTGGAATAAAATACCCTATTTTTTAGTTTGATATGTGATCAGAAACTTATTTACTCTTGACAGTAAATTTATAAGGAAAACTCAAAATTAAAATTGTAATAAATCATTAAAATAAAAATTTTAGTAAGCTTTTCTATACAACTCTCGGTATTTAAATTATTATTTATATTGACTGCACATAAAATATTCTGCTTGATACGTGGTTTTTTAATTAAAATATATTTATTAATTATTCATACGTAACCTAATAATTAAACATAAATATTTGTTACATTAATTAGATGATTTTGTTATTTATTATTGATGTATTCCATATGCGAAACTCTAATTGCAGATTTGTAATAGACGCAAAAATGAGTTTAAAAAAGTATATTTTGGTCTCTGATGAAAATTCCTTGTACACCAATAAATTTATTTAAAATTAACTAACAATATTTTTTTGAAAAGAATTATATCAAGTCCTTCAACTTTTATACATGTTTGCCATAAAAGTAATATCTACTGTATAACTTTTTATAATATCTCCGTAAAAATTACAATTCTAAATTATGAAATATCAATTTCACTTATAAATCATAAAACTTCTAAATAAGGAAATAAGTTCATTTTGCTTTTTGAATAATCCATCAATTTTTCAAAATTTAACAATATCTACAATTTCGCATCGAAGCTTTTCTTATGATAATGATCTTAATCACTGTCAGGTATCATCTATACTTATCTCAACTTTGCCACCTCCACACTGTGCCGTGACCCAACTGTGCATCGTTTATTTAAAATGATCGTGGACAAGTCATTTTAAAGGTATAGGTTATCAAAAACACACTACAGACACAGCATACTAATTAATATAAAATATTTAGTACCTAATACATCATTGTTGCAATAATCGATATACCAGTAAAAAATATAAAAAAAGAAGGAAATTATTGATTAATTTAAGTTAGAGTAAACACTAGTCTTTTATTATCAATCTATTATCTTTAGTAAAAAAAAAGAAAAATAACTTAAATCAATTTGGATAAGAAATAAATGACATTATATAAATATTTTAATTACAAACATTATGCATTAGATGAAATCACGAATATTTTGGTACAAAAATTGCATTTTTCTTTTTTCACGTTAGTGTAAGTGGTATGTAAATCCATATTTCGTCGAATAAAAACAAGGCAGCTTGCTTATTACAGATTTATGTATTCCTTACAGGTATTTAAAAAAATAGTATTGAATGATTGGAGGAACTCAAATTTAATTCAATTATAAACAGATTTAAAAATTCAAAAATTTAAATTAGTACTATTTTTATAATAGTACTAATTTATTTATAATTATGATTATTTTCATAATCGTCACAATTTAAATGTAAATATTTCTATAATTAAAAGCTCAAAAATATGGTAATTCTTGAAAAAAAAAAGAAAATTATTTTTTTTTAATCTGATCCCTAGTGTGCAAAAGAATGACGAAAGAAAAGTTACAAAACATAATGAAGAAAATACACCTGTTATGTAAAACTATTAATTCCAGAAGAGATAAGATGTTAGGACTTAAATTATGATACGGAGCCTGCTAAAAAAGTAATAGAAAGAAATGGAATAAAACACATAAAAAGACTAACTAAACATATATCGAATACGGAAAAAAAAGCTAAAAATTTGATTAAATGATTACCAAACATAAGTGATTTTAAACATGATAAAGATAATGTTTGGATAGAATACTACAAATTATATGTCGCTTACCTGGGCACCTGTAACTATCTATAAGTAGACTTTATGAAAAAGAGGGAAAGGATCTTCTGATCAAAACGCAAGCTCCAAAATACGGAGGGTTCGCCTACACTAATCAGGGGAGTGAGACGACCAGGTAACAATGATAAATTAAGTCTTAAAAATAATAAATATATAAATCCAGTATTACAACCTTACATTATAATAATCAGCAATAAAAATCCCTTTGGTTCAAAAATAATAAAAACAATTGCCACTTTNGCACAAAATATGAATTAAAATAATAATCAGCAATAAAAATCCCTTTGGTTCAAAAATAATAAAAACAATTGCCACTTTGGCATAAACAATAATATGAAAAACCCAGCGCAGAAGGGTCGCGGCACAGTGGTGACGTGGCATAGTTGGATCAAGTATAATGATATCTGACAGTGATTAAAATCACTATCAAAAATAAACGCTTCGATGCAAATCTTTAGATAGTGTTTAATTTTAAAAAAATTGGTGTTTTATTCCAAAAGCTACTTGATCTGCTGGTTCCTTATTAATATCTCGATTAAGATAAAGTATGTCGAATGAAAAAGGGTTTATTAAAAAATATTATTTCTCATAAAAAAATTGTGTGGATCCATAAACTTTTCAATAAGTTATAGCATTATAAAGTTAAATATAATATAAATAATAAAATCGAGAATTTTCACACGAAAATAGCATTCGGTAGCCATTTTCGCCGTGAAGACAAGTCCAGAGGTCAAATTTTTTTTTTCAAATTAAAGTACATTACATTAGCTTTAATTTAATATATATATAAAAGTGTCAGACCTTCCAGAACATTTTCAAAAGTTAATTTTTTGTGAAAAAGTTGTCATTTTAAATCCCCCCCGGTGGGCCGAAAAAAGGTCAAATTAAAAAAAAATATATACCAAATGATAGGTAAAGACATCAAGCATCTATAAAAAAAAAGTGATATTCATATCGTTCATTTTTGAAAAATTTATAGCAGTTTTTAGTAAAAAAAATTGAAAAAATTTCGAAAATTAGCGATTGTTAAATTTGTAATTTTTTTGGAGGTTTCCCTCATTTAAGTGGAACGAGAGAAATTTTTTAAGTTTTAAAGGGTAATGTCTTCGACTAGATACGATTTGTGATCTTTTGACGTATCGTTGAAAGAAATCCGTTCGGCGAGAGCTGAGAAAAAGTGGTAACAGACACAAAAAAAAAAAAAAACACATCTTAGTAAAACCAATACCTTCTTAGCTTCGCATCGAATTTATAGATTCTAAGTAGCAGCAATAATAATATATAAATATGCATAAAAATATATGTATTCAATAAATAATCAAGTTTTCCTGTTTGGTACAATAATAACGAATAACATAAAATATGATTAAAAAACTATAACTATATAAAAATAAACTACAAAAAGGTTCAGCATTAATATTCTTTTTTTAAGTATAGCACACAATAATAATAATAGGTGCCGCATCTGCGGCTAGAGCGCACAACCTCTTTGGTGCTAAACTAAAGAGATAACATCTTACTTATATTAATGATTAATATGGTTTGATTATGACTATGGCATATATTTATATTATATAATTACTTCAAAAACTTTAGTACGTAAAATTTCGTAATTTTCTTGTGTCCCACTAAATAAAAGAGATATAATTCTAAAAAATTCGTTTGTATCCAAAGTAATTCCTGTATCTTTATTGTATTTCGGAGATTTTAACATTTTATTTGATTGTTGGAGGTTGTATGGTTTTCCTGTTTGAAATTCTAATTTTTTACTTATATTTTCTCTCCATTTTGAATCAACTGGTTGAAAACGATGATCAGCTATAAGATATTTAACAGTTATATGCCATTTATCAGGTGTTCTATATACACTTGTTACATGTACCACCAAATTCTATAATATCAAATATATGTGAATTACAAATTTAATTTCAACATAAGTATAAATGGGCACTTTTTCAGAACCATATTTGTTTTTATTAATAATTTTTTTCAAGTTTAAAATATTAAATCTTAACATTGAGATAAAATATAATGTAGAATTTATTTTAAGCGTTTACTAAGAAATTATACTTAATTAAAACGTTGAAATCTTTTTAAAATATGTAGGATGTCCTACAAGGTTTTCGAGGGTCTCGAGGGAGTTTCTATATAATTATTTTATTATTTAAAATACAGTATTTATAAACTGTTTTTTATGAATTAATATTAAAATATATTCAAAACACATGTAAAAAATTCTTAATAAAATAAATAATTATTGATAAAAAATTATTAATTAAGCAATAAATAGTATAATAGACTCATGTTAATATGAATATACATGGTTCACATTTAAACGGTTTTGTGAGTCAGAATTTTTAAAGTTTAAAACATTCGATATAAAATATTAAGGATATACTATTTACACAATATCCATAACAATTGAAAACTTTTGATTTTCGTGACATATAAAACAACTTAATCATTGATTATTTATTATTTTGCAGTAATTTGACAGCGAATAGTTACATAGTTATAATCAATGAACCATAGCCTATTTTTATCCATAAGAGCAGTGATGGGAAATATCGAATAGTAATTATCGAACTATTCGACAGTTACACAATATATTCGAATAGTTTTAAAAACTATTCGATAGATAATGCTAAAAATAAATTATTTGGTTGTATAAACACAATTCGAATAGTTATACGATAGTTTAAAACATTCTAAAATGTCCATCACTACATAAGAGTATCGAAATGTAAAGTAAAAAAAAATTTTTGGATAATTTTAACTGATTCGGTTAGAAAAAATAGAAGCTTAATAATTAAGACAAAAATTACGAATTTTTTATTATTATTAATATTATTTATGAAGAAACTCATGTGAGAATTTCTATTTATACTGCATTACTGAAATTTTTTGTACGACAATGTAAACTACTTTTTTTCAAATATTTATCAAAATTATTATAAAAGAAATTATCATAAAAAAGATATGTATATTTTTCCTAGCTTACCTTATTTTAATTAATGAAATATAAAGATTATTGTGTCACTAACTATCTATAATTTTATTTCATCCAAGTTTTCTGTAGAACTAGATATTTAATACAAATAAAAAAAAAATACTAATAGCTTACAAGTTAATTTAATAATATTTTTATTTTTGATATTATTAATTTAAGAGTATTTAACAAAATAAATTTGAAATGTTTATATTAATTAAAAATATGTCATTATAATTAATTACTAATTAAATAATTATAATTAATTTTTACATTTACATTTGAATGTGTACTATCCAGTTCATTTTGATCCTAAAAATAATTAAACAATTTAATACTAAATTGAAGGTTTTAATTATTTAAGTGAATCCCATAACTGCATTTATTTCAAAAATTATTATTTTTCATTATCCTTATTTATCTTGAAACTTAAAACAATTAAAAAAAATAATTACTTCATAAAAACATTTTAAACAGAATGATTAATAAAGAATAATATATACATATTTTCAGAAACTATTAGCTTTTGCAGGGGATTTAAAATAACAACACTTTTACAAAACTCAACTTTTTCTTCTTAAGTTTTGAAAATGTTCCGGAAATACTTTGTACTTTAAACATATGTTAAATTAGTGCATATGTTATATACAATGAATTAAAAAAACAAGATGTGTTCGCCGGCCTATGTTCGAATGGTTGTTGTAGATAAAAATCGTGCAATTTTGGTGTTAAAATTTACGATTTCATATTTTATTTTTTCAACATTACACCACACCCCTTAAATTCAATGTTTCGTACGAGGCAGCTAGACCGTAGGACGGATAGTTGTACATAATACTAGAATGCCGATGTACCCTATTCCTGATTAAATCGCTATTATTGAAGAAGGAGTGAGCTACCTGGGTGAAATTGATGGATAATTAAAAAAGTAAAATCAACTCCTATTTCCTTAATTATGTCCTGTTTATTATTTAATAGATTCAAAAATACAATATATAATTTTTATAATTTATTGTTTTAAAAATTATTATTGATATTGATTTTTAATATGTTCAAAGTAATCATTTTTAACCTACTTTTTTTATACTTTAAATTAGTGATGGGCATTTTCGAATATTTTAAACTATTGTATAACTATTCGAATTGTGTTTATACAACCGAATAATTTATTTTTAGCATTATCTATCGAATAGTTTTTAAAACTATTCGAATATATTGTGTAACTAAATATTTTTTGAATCATTATCGAATATTTTGAATAGTGGACAACTATCAAATAGTTCAATAGTTACTATTCGATATTTTCCATCACTACTTTAAATTAAAAGTTTATAATAAAAAAAAACGAATTTATTATCATAGCTTTTAGCTCAACTTGCAAGTTTGAAATTGACATCATTAAATAGAAAAAAATGATATTGTTAAGATTAAAATGTAGCCAGGAAATTTTATAAATACTATATACAATAAATTTATCAGAAAATCTCGATTTTTTTGCATTTTTATCGTAATAGATCACTTAATAGAAATTATAGTAATCATTTCTTATTAACTTTTGGTGTTTAAACGATTCTATAATTGATATATTCAGAACTTAATTAATTTTATTGATTTATTTTAACTAAAAGAATCAATCAAAAAGTTGTTAAAAAAATCTACTCAATTGATTATATTATTATAAAATCTGATTACTATAGTAAAAATCTATTGCTAATTTAGGTGAAACTAAAAATCAAATTTTAGAAATTATTTATATAGCAACATGTTACCAAAAAAATTGGAATATTATAGACTGGTACTAGCACACACAAATAGAGTTAAATATGACAGCACAGTGAGATCGCAGCTAGATAATTTTGTGTATCAAGCACCTCCTTTTTTTTCTTCTCCTTTTCATAGTCTTTTCCTATGAATATATTTATATTTAAAACCAGGCTCCTCCTAGCTGGGGCTCCGCCACAGACCCGGGGCCCTTCGAGCCTTACGCGCCTTCGGCGCATAAGCCTCTTCGGGCCGTCATCATAAGTAGGCCACTGATTCCGGTAGAAGTACCCGGCTACGCCGGGCACGATAAGTGTTTTTCAGAAAAAATATTACTTCAGAATCAGTGAAAACTATAGAAAACTATATCTAAAAATGTTATTATTAAAATCAGGAAAATTCAAAAAGAGAATATAGTAAAATGTATTGGGTATAAGGTTGAAGCCTCTTAATGAGGTATTCCCTTTAGGCCTATTCAAAAATTATTTTAGGAGGAAATTTAATATTTTTTACTTTGTTAAACATGTTATAGAANATTATTTTAGGAGGAAATTTAATATTTTTTACTTTATTAAACATGTTATAGAATTTTTTTTAATAAAATTAAAGTAATGATGAAAAAAAAGGACATTAGGTCCTTATATATTAGTAGATGCCTAAAAAAATATTCATAGCGCTTGTTCAAGGAGGGGCCAATCTCTCTTAAATACACCCCTGTTATACACAAAAATTATTAATAATCTAATTATAATAATTGTGTTTATATTATAGAATAATTAAAAAAAAATTTAGCAGGTTATTATAACTTCAAGAAATTTATATACAACATATAACATTCCTTGATAAAAATAGGGCAAATGCAAAATAGTGTCATAATAATAATACATAATACACCATGTAATTAAGGTTAATAATACGTATCAGCAGAAATGAAACACTGCGCATAATACAGCCATGCGGGCGAGCGGCAAAAATTTTCCGACCTTCGCCAATAATTTTCCCGGAGTCTGGTGACCGAGTACTTTCGTTGAAAAAAAAAATTTTGAAAATCCGAGCACGCTAAGTAATTTTCCCAGAAAAGCGTTTTTTTCCTTGTTCTATTATATAATAAGATAGTAATTATAAATTTTTAATTAAATAATTAAAAAATGTTGTTATATTATACATGGCCTCATTTTTTTTCTCTATACTTTTCCCTCATTTTTATTAACATTTGTTTTTATCAAAACCTAGTAACTCCGTCAACAAGTACTATCTTGTTTGGCGCGGCTACTAGGTCACTGTCCAGTGTTCCCCTTGGCAGTGGGTAATTAGTAGGCCCTCTGGTTTGGCTGAAACCTTACAATTTCTTCAGATGATATCTGACAATGATAAAAATCTTTATCATAAAAAACGCTTCGATGCAAATCTGTAGATAGTGTTTAATTTTAAGAAAGTGGTGTATTATTGAAAAAAAAAATCCTAACTCAAAAAGAATTACGGAAAAATTACAAAAAAATCATTGCCACAGGCAACGAGTTTTCCTGAATCGGCACAGGTACGTCGCATCTGTTTTTTGATAAAATTGGTAATTTAAGCTGATTCAAATGCTATAATTAATTTTTTCGACTTTAAAAAAAAAATAAATTGAAATAAGTTTCATATTACATTCTAGGTCAATTAGATTTATATATCATTCATGAAAATCAGTATAGCCCCCTTTATAAAGTATTTTAAAATAAATTAAAATTGAATAGCAAGAATTTTAACACAAAAATAGCATGTTTTTTAACTGCGGTAACCATTTTCACTTAGAAGATAAAACGTTGGGACAAATTTATTATTTTTTTTTTTGAACTTATAGTACATAACATTAACTTTATTTTAACGTATGTTAGAAGCTGGGAGTATTTCCGGAACATTTTCAAAACTTAAGTTGAAAAAGTAAAATTTTTGTTCAGAAATTGCAATTTTGAATCCCCCTTATGGACACGTAAAGAGTCAGATTTTCAAAAAAATTATGTCAAATGAAAGGAAAATATCCAAGGTATTAATATCAAAACGAATTATTTTGATTTGTTAATTTTTCAATAAGTTTTGGCAATTTTTAGAAAAAAAATGTCAAAATTTACCAATTTTAAAAATCGTAATTTTTTGGGGGATTTTCACTATTTATGGGAAACGAGGGCAAACATTCAATTGTTGAGGGTAATGTCTTCAAATAGATACGATTTGTGATCTTTTGAAATATTGTTAAAAAAAATCGGTCCAGTGAGAGCTGAAAAAAAGTAGTGTTAGGCACAAAAATAAATAAAAAAATGAACACATCATTGAAAAATTAATACCGTCTCAGCTTCGCATCGAAGCTAAAATTTTGAGTTTTACTGAAAGAAGTATATTAAATAATTATATTAAAGTTTCCTGACTATATTAATCTTAACAATACCATTTTTTTAATACACATCAAATTTTCTATTTAATAATGTTAATTTCAAACATGCAAATTAAGCTAAAAGTCATGGTAATAACTTTTAGCTTTTCTTATATATGAATACTCATTTTTAACTAATTATTAATAATATCGAAAATTAGTGATGATGGATAAATCTAATTGTAGATTTGAAATCAGCGCAAAAAATAGGTTTAGAAAAGTATATTTTCGACTCTGATGAAAATTCCTTGTAGAACATTTATTCATAACAAATGAAAAGTTTTGAATCAAGCTCTTCAATTTTTATACGCCTTTGCCATAAAAGTATTAAGTACTTTACAACTTTTTTATAATTTCTCCGTAAAAACTACAATACTAAATTATTAAATATCAATTTCATAGTACATTTAATTTCTATAATAAAGATTTATTCATATATTACACTTATAAATCTACATTTGTTCCAACTATGCCTCGTCTACACTGTCCCAAGACCGTACTGTGCTACCATTTTTTATTAAGATAGTTATTTAGAAAAATTGTTTATAAAGATTGACTGATAATATCCGACAGTAAATATATATTAAATATAGGCGTTCGCTTTGTTAATATACATGAATAAGATTAAAATTTTTTTAGATATAACAGTTAAATTTATTGCAATCTGTGCAACCAGAAAATGTTCATACCAAATCCATTATGCCAACACGTTATGTTTAATATTTATTTATTACTAATCATATGCCTCTTAAGATTATGAATCATAGTATGAAAATTTGGGAAAAGATATTAGATAAGAAAATAAGAAATGAGACATAGGTATCTAAAAACCAGTTTGGATTTATGCCTGGTAAGTCGAAAATGGAGCCATTATTTTGTGTAAGTCAACTAATTAAAAAGTATAGGGTAAAGAAGAAAAAGTAAAATATTAGATTAAGGTTTTAGTGCACTAATAGAAATTCGTATTTTTGAATTTTATTTTTTATCAGCTTAAAAATCTTGTACTAATCGTAAATCGTCTAATTTAATATCATTTTAAATCATTAATTGTTAGTGTGATGTTTTTAATTATATTGGCTTTACTGTACGTAGTGAATATCTGAAATGACATAAAATATCTTCCATATTAATATAGTATAAGATTTTTTACACTGTAATAAGCAATTTTAAATTCTTAAGTTAAAGAATTATGTCATATTAAGAAAAAATGCAGGATAAGCAAGTTAACAAGAAATATATAGGCAAACGAGAAAAGTAAAGGGTGATTGGCAGTGTACCCAACGGCAGAAATCGAGAAGAGCCAAAACAACGAACTTGACATTTCAGATATGAAAAAAAAAATATACCAAATGATAGGTAAAGACATCATGCATCAAGAATTATATTGATCCATACATCTTTCAAAAAGTTATAGCATTATAAAGTTAAAAATATAAAAAAGAATTTTTTTACATAAATCATATTTTTTTTATTAACTTTGATGTCTGTTTTCACCATGAAGATAAAAAAAGTCCGAAATTTTTTTTTTCATGATAAAGTGTATTACATTAGCTTTAATTTAAGATATATATATAAAAGTGTCAGACTTTACGGAACATTTTCAAAAATCAAGTTGAAAAAATTAATTTTTTGTGAAAAAGTTGACATTTAAAATCCCCCCCCTGTGGGCAAGTAAAGGGTCACATATAAAAAAAAATATACCAAATGAAAGGTAATGATATAATTCATCTATAAAAAAAAAAATTTATATTGATTTGGTTATTTTTAAAAAAGTTATAGCAATTTTAAGTAAAAAAAATTGAAAAAATTTCGAAAATTAGCGATTGTTAAATTTGTAATTTTTTTGGAGGTTTCCCTCATTTAAGTGGAACGAGAGAAATTTTTTAAGTTTTAAAGGGTAATGTCTTCGACTAGATACGATTTGTGATCTTTTGACGTATCGTTGAAAGAAATCCGTTCGGCGAGAGCTGAGAAAAAGTGGTAACAGACACAAAAAAAAAAAAAAAACACATCATAGTAAAACTTATACCTTCTCAGCTTCGCATCGAAACTAATATACGGGTTCGTAATAATATTTAACAAAATTTATAATTACAATAAAATTTTCTCATGAAAAATCTGTTGCTGTTAAGTCGGTAGTATTTTTTATTTAATTTTTCGTGTTCTTTTAGCTTCGATGCGAAGCTGAGAAGGTATTGGTTTTTACTAAAAACTGCCGTAACTTTTTCAAAATTCAACATATCAATAAAATTTTTTTTTTTTTTTAGATGCTTGGTGTTTTTAACTATTATTTGATATATTTTTTTTTGTAAATTTGACCCTTTACCAGCCCACGGGGGGGATTTAAAATGACAACTTTTTCACAAAAAAATAAATTTTTTTAACTCAAATTTTGAAACTGTTCCGTAAAGTCTGACACTTTTATATATATCTTAAATTAAAGCTAATGTAATCTACTTTATTATGCGAAAAAAAAAATTCGGACTTTATTTTGTCTTCACGGTAAAAAAAGCTACCGAATGCTATTATTGTGTGAAAATTCTCGATTTTGTTTTTTACATTTTTAACTTTACAATGATATAACTTATTGAAAAGTGTATAGATCAACATAATATTTTTATGAGAAATAATATTTTTTAATAATCCCTTTTTCATTTGACATACTTTATCTGAATCAGGATATTAATAACGAACTAGCAGATCATGTTGATTTTGGTATAATCCACCAATTTTTTAAAATTAAACACTATCTAAAGATTTGCATCGAAGCGTTTTTTTTTATAGTGATTTTAATCACTGTCAGATATCATTATACTTGATCCAACTATGCTACGTCACCACTGTGCCGCGACCCCCCTTTTCTAGGTTTTTTATAATGAAAGGTAAAAAAGATTAATTGTTAATTGATTTTGTTCATAAACACCCTAAATTAAATATCAAAAAATTTAAATGAAACAATTGGTCAAAAAATGTTTGAGTTATATTAATTTCTACAAAAAATCCTTATAAAAAATTAATTAGTAATTTAATATTATAGAATTGTCTAGAACACATAGATGCAACTAGAGAAGATCAGTTCCTCAGAAATCAAATAAGATTATTAAAAAATTAAGAAATAATGTATATAGTTATTTTAAAATATTTTGACATGAAGGGATAAATACTTAGCCATTCTGGACGTAGTTCATTAATTAAACTTAGTACAAGATCTTTTGTTAGTCTAAATTTTTGTACAATTGCATTTTAAACAAAACTACAAAAAATAAATATAACTTTAATAACGCGTATAAAAGTAGAACTTGTTCAGCTTAACTTTTAGAAACTGCTTTGGTGTATTAAGGAAGGAGTCAATGTGTGCCAATCCCTTTAAATTTTTATTCGAAATTATTTATTTTGACTATAAACTATGACAAATTGTTGTGACCACATTTCCTCCTCCCTAAAAAAGATTTATATCTTGGAATTTAAGGTATCTTATGATATACGTAATTAATTTTTATGTTATTAGGTAAATATATGAATATCGCTTACACAACTTAGCCTACAAATAATTCATATATTCTATAATATCACTTACATGGCATTGAAATGTTGAGTCTTCGTTGTTTAATGGTATTGATAAGTCGGATGGAAGCCTTGAATATGAGTTAAATGAAAAAAGCTGTAACATACCAAATTTAGTCTGTATTATTAGTATTTTATTAGTTATTATAATTTTATTTTTATAGCTAAATATTTATCTATATTTTTTAGTAAATTGTGGTTATTGAAATATAGATGAATTCAAAAATGAAATATGACATTAAAAATACCGTATTTGGTTTGGGTACACCTAATGCTAAAATATTTGTGGGTTATTCAACAAATTTTTTTAATTACATGGAAAACCATGGAGAACATGGTTTTTTATCAAAAAAAACGTTAGATTTTTTTAAACTATTTAATCTGAACACTATCATACTTGGAATAAAATATTAAACTTTTAGAATTTTTTTTTAACGAATAAGCGTTTTCCGAAAAATAAAAAGGAAAATTAATAAGTAAAAATAAATAAAATCAGTTATAACTAGAGCTCCTGATTTCACGTGTACACGATTTCACGTACTCACGTGAAATTAAGGTTTGATTTATAAGACCCGTTGCTTAAAATTTTCCGTGAATTTATGATATTAATCACGTGTATCCATAAATTGTTGTATTCACGTGTATCCGTGAATTATTATATTCACGTATAACCGTAAATTTGTGTTACGCCTCAACTTACTTAGTTTTCTATTTTTTTCCTAGGAAGAAAATATTTTTTTTTATATCATTTTACTTAAGTTAATTAAAAAACTAATTATGCTCAATAATCGATAATAATAATTTATGTTTTATTCAGAAAAACCTAACCTATAGAGTGACATAAGATAATTTTGTATAAATAAACTAAATATTATAACAAATTATAATAAATAAACAAAAATTAATACACAAAATAATTCAACACCTAAATAACTTTAATAACATAAAATATTAATTAACTAATAATTTTCTATTTTAATACAAAAATGTCAGCATATTTACATTTTTGCCAACAAACAAGTCCTTTTTGAGGTTACTATATTTCCAGCAGTGGAAAAGCATCTCTCAGAGCTCACTGATGTGGCAGGAATAGCGAGATATTCCTTGTCTAATGCTGCAAGATTTGGGTATTTGATTTCCCTTGATTTCCACCACTCATATAGATTTAAATTAAAACGTAATTGAGGTTCCGCTGTATAAATTTGAAACTGGGTCGTTAAATTATTGTTTTTAATTATTGTATTTCCATATAAAAATTGAAGATCGCTGCTTTGAGCTAGTGGATTTTGTTCCAAATTGAATTCAATGTTTTGTATGCTACTGTTAAATTTTTCTAGCAAACTCTTTACAGCCTTATGAATTTTTTCTCTCGTAGCAAGTCTAATTCTTTGTAACGAGGATCTAGAAAAAAAGCAATTTGTCGGACAGTGACAGAATTCGTTTCTCTGCAGTCAAGTTTGAATCGTTCTTTAATTTCAAATATTATTGTAGATTTAAATTCAGTGGTATATTGATCATCAGTTAAAGCATTATGATTTAAATGGTGATCCAATAATTTTGATAGTAATGGTCTTACTATTGACGCTGGAGAATAGTTCTCGGAGCAAAATAAATTTGTAATAACATATAATGGTTTGAGGAGACTTACAAGATTTTCTATTCTTAACAATTGAAATTCAGTTATTTCTAATTTTTGCGCATTGAATAAAGATGTGATTGTTCTTTCTGCCAAAACATTTGAAACTGGACTCCTGTTTTTTGAAAGACGGTCTAACTTTAATATATTGAGTTCCATCGTGTCTTACAACATTGCACTAATGATTGGTGCGGAAGTCCTAGCTGTTCTTGTTTGAAGCTAGTGCTTGGTGAATTTTTTCCGTTTTTTCATAATTACATTCACGATCACTACCAGACCCAAATTTTTTAGAAATACGACGTTTTCTAGATTTTGAATTCGAGGAAGATTTAGTATTGTTATTAACAAGAATTGTATCATCATCTTGATTAATGGAACTTCCAGAACTGCTTGACCTTATAATTTCTTCGGAAACATTTGATGTATGTTTAGATCCCAAACTAGACCTACAAAGTACAAAATGTACAATTCTAGCGTTATACAATTAAAATGTATGTTATTTATTTGTAAAATTTTTAAAATAAAATTGACGACTTTATTTTTATAGCATCTACGTACTTATATGACCCAATTACAATTACGTAAATAAATTATATTATTTTATTCGGGTTATTAAAATCAAATAATTGTTAGGTCACTTAAGTACCCAGACGACATTATAATGAAGTTGTAAATTTTATTTTAAATATTTTAAAATAACTAATACATGTCATACACATTTAAATATGTAATAGAATAAAAAACATAATTTATTATTACCTCTTTTCTATGGATTCTTTTGGTGACTTAATTTGATGTATATTTTGCAAATGTCTGATTAAAGAACCAATAGTTCCACCGACACAGGAGTATTCATTTGATTGGCATGACATAGATCACAAAAGGCGCGATCTCCTTCCCGCTTAGCATAGTCCCACACCCAACTTTTTCTTTTACCCATTTTTTTAGTTAAACTTGTTCACTTAATGTGATTACATGTAAATCTAACAGTCGACTGTTAAACCAACTTAAACTATGAGTTCAAATTCTACACATAATATCTAATCTTTTATAATAAAAACTATGGTATAAGATGACAATAGACCATTTTTATAAGAAGACCTGTTATTTTATCTTTCNGTTTTTATAAGAAGACCTGTTGTTTTATCTTTCATAAATAAATGTTTGTTGACAATGATTCCTCATTATATTAACCCAACCGTCGTGTATACATCACCTTATGATACCTTTTTCACATATTGTAGAGCCTGTGTAGTCGTGTATATTCATTTTGTTAGCTAATGTTCGTGTTTAACTTTAAATTTAACCTAAAAAACTTACAAATCTGTTATACCACAAAAAGAAATGTACATGTAGTCCACAACAATATACATTTTCAGTTGATATCAATTAAAATTATTCACGTGATTAACGAATTCACGTATTCACGTTATTATGACTCTGATACGTGTTCACGTATTTTAGCTTCTACTAATTCACGTATATTAATCATACGTGTCTTATTTTATTACACTCTCGTGTACACGTATGTTCGTATTCACGTAAAACCATTAGAGCTCTTATCTATGTTACTTGACATAAAATATTAAACTTTTAGAATTTTTTTTTTAAACGAATAAGCGTTTTCCGAAAAATAAAATGAAAATTAATAAGTAAAAATAAATAAAATCAGTTATAACGTATTTTTAAAACTTTTATAACTTTTATTTGCATAAAAACTTAGTATTATAATCAGTATTTTTTTTACAATACATCAAATTAACATTATAATCATTAATTTACATTTTATTTATGGAATATATTATTCGTAAGAATACAAATGAATATTACAAAATAATGATCCATTGTTTTAAGCAAATTTCGTTGTATAAACTATATACGATGGGGTGTTCACGTGTTGGATACAACATGGTTTTGTAACACAACTTAAATTGTACAGCTGTGAACTATCCAAATCCTCCACGTTGACTACACGTTTTTCTAGTATGTATTTTTCCACTACTTGCTCTTTCACAACTCGTTTCACGTAAATGGACACCCATCGCAACAGTTTCATGATTTTCGGCAGCTTATCGTGTTCGACGTCACCGCAATGATTATCAATTCCATGTAAGTATTTTTTCAACCAAAAGTTTGTTTTAGCATCGTCCTTAATACTTTTTAGGTATTTGAATATCTAATGAGGGAAAGATGTACAATTATTGGCAATGACAGTTAATTCCTTGACCATAAACGATCGGTTGGGTACCATAATACCTTGTATATTGACAATCATTGAGATGAGATATTGGTTTTCTTTATCCATGAATTGTGCTCTAGACTAAATCCTAACCATTTAACGTAGCTTTTGTCTCCTCGTGTTTGGAACACTCGTTCGACTAAATATATATCCGGATAATTGGTCTTGTTCAACTCTACGGTGTAAAACAAGCCGCGTATTGAAATTCACTCATAATCTTCCCGATGGTACATTTAATATTAAAAAAAGTTTTAATTTCAAAAAATTAATATTTAACCGCCGTTTTGTTATTATTTTATCAAAAATATACTTTAACTTCATTAAAACGGATATTTTGTAAATTTTACTTGTTTTCTTAATTATAATTAATACACTACACAATACAAAAAAATTAATAAATATTTTTTTTAGTAAATAACATATTCTTGAAAAATAGTTTAGTAAATTTTTCTATTAATGTCAAATTTAATGAGTTATATTAGAAAAACTGAATTTCTGCACTCATCTACCAATATACAATCACTTAGAGGTTTATCACAAATCCTTCTAATATATCATAATATATTTTTGATTCAGGTACGATTTGAAAACATGAATTTTTAAAAAATTACGCTAGTGATAATAAATAATATTACATTTATATGGATCTTAGTACATATAGGTTAGCTAAGATAAAATTATGTATGAAAAATTTTAACCAATGTCGTTAACGGTATCGAAATTGAAATATCTAAAATAAAATATCGATATGCGATAAAAAATAGAAACCGGTAAAGTGAAATATAAAAATCGAAATCAAAATTGTTCAAATGAATTATCGATAATAGAAATCAAAATTTGATACGTGGCAATATCATTTTTAATAATATGATTAAATATTTGATTTGTAATGTTACGTCCTATGTTTAAATATTATATTCATATGTAATTAAATTTATAATTATGATAAAAAACTGTATTTTTACTGAAGTTTTCTTAGTTAAAATATTTTTTTCAATGCTTTAAAGCAAATGTTTTAATAAGAAATTTCTATTTAGAAATGTCCAAGATACAACACTATAATCTGTATTTGTGATTTTATCATTTTTTTCCCTGTAAAATGTATGAAAAATAATGTCATAAAGCCCAAAATTAAGTATAAAAACTTTTAACCGATACCACTGACGATCGATTGGATATTGAAATTGGAATATCTAAATTTAATTATCGTAAAGCGATTCAAAATATATTTCAGTAAAATGGAATAAAGATAATCAAAATCGAATGCAAAATAGTTCAAAGAAATATTAATAAAAGAAATCATAATTTGATACGTGGCAATATCATTTCTCATAACTCCTAAAATGATTAAGTTTTTGTTTTGTAATATTATGTCCTACGTTTAATATGATAGTTACACGTAATTAAATTTATAATTATGATTAAAAACTGTAATTTATTGAAATTTTCTTAAATAAAATTTTATTTAAAACATTTTTTTCAATGCTTCAAAGAAAATTTTAATTTTTAGGAATTAGCAATTCCTATTTAAACACTACATTCTATATTTGTGATATTATTATTTTTTTGTTTCCGTAAAATGTATAGAAAATAATTTCATAAAGCCTATAATTCTAGAAGATAATAAAATATTAGATCAAAAGTCTTAGATAATATTATTGTGTAGTATAAATTAAATTTATATTTATTTACCTTCGAGAACCAATTACCTCCGGGTATGACTGTTATAAGTATAATATTGTGTGATAACCATAAAATTGCGAAAATATTTAATAAAAACATCTTATAAAATCAACTAAAATCACTCAAACCACGTAAAATTTTAAAATATATTTTATAGCTGAATTTTTCATTTAAATATAAGTATTAGGAAAAGACATTTTACTTAAAATTTGGCTCCATTATTTTGTTATGTAAACATTAAACAAAAATTTACAAAAATAAAATACAAACATTTACCTCTATAAAAAAGAATATGCTTGTATTGATTGAGTTAATATTTTTTTTAATTTTAGACAACATTCATTTATAAATGTATCTTGTCTATTTTACTCTTTAAAACTATATAAAAAAAATATGTATACATTTAGACATTAAACAACTTATATTTTGATCGAAAAGAACAATAAATTTTATTTAGTAAATTGTATGATAAAATTTCAGTACGATACAATGAAAAACTGTAACATAGTGAAGATTTGAGTGATTAAAATTGAAAGAATTGCGGCAACAATCCAATAAATCAACTTTTTTTCAAAAACCACTTTTTAATAAAAATATTTTAAAGGAAATTATTCTTGATAATTAGAGGCAACAACCATATTGATTATGTCTAAATTCATATGGTTGTTACAAAAATAAATTTAATTTTTTTTGTTATTTGCTGCAATAACAAGATTAGTCCAGTTTTATCTTGTTGTTACAGCAATATGTGAAAGAAATCCTATAATATAATGATAATATGAATAACTATTTGACCAAATAATTATTTTTTACCTAAAAATGTATCCAAGTTTTTTATAAGTGTTACTGCTTAAGGCTGTTTATTATTACTTTGTTTAAAATGTTATTATACAGTATTAAAAAATGGTAACATATAATCTTATAAAAGTATGTAATCAAAATGTTGTGATTTAATTAATAGTTTAATATTATTTCAAATATAATATTTAATTTTTATTGTTTTTATACAGGATGATTTTTTTATCATAACCCACTCAATTACTTATAGAATAATAATAATTTAAACATTATTTTTTTTTGAATATCTTTAGTTACACATTATTCTTGAATTATTAACTATGTAATACTTTTTAAATCTATCCCCTTATGCCTAGTAAGGATATTAACTCTTTTTTTAAAAAATAAAGTACCAGGGGACATAAAGTAACAGCGATTAAACTAACAAACAGAATTTTGTTTAATTATGTAGATGTTTGATAGCATCTATTAGCTTAAACAAATATGAACTAATTTAAATATAAAAAACAAAAGCAGGACTACTCACCAGTGGATTGTTTACATAAGATGACTGGCACACGTCCTCTCACTTCAAACACTACATTGTTACTAACATAATAGCGGCTGCTCACAACCTTGTCAATTTGGAATGATTCGCATTGGTTACACAAATCTTCTTTTTTTTTTAATCTACCGGCATTATTGTGTGCCGCCCCGGAACTGCCGTGAGGTATTACTTCAGGGCGGCCCACGCCGTTTTAATAATTCACACCACCACATTGTAAATCAGCCCGAAATTAATCAAGAGCTGATTTGCAACGTGGTGTGGCCCTCTCCTCTTAACCGGATCCCAGAGTGGGAACCGTTAGGGAGGGCTGCCAAAATAACTCACAAGACAAAAAACACAACACAAAAATAAGAACCTAAGGCACCGGCCAAAACCAGCGCCTCAAGTCCTTCTGCGCCGGACGACGTGGCTGTCTCTGTCTCAGGCGTTCCGCTTCCTCCTTCTTTAACAAAACGAATTCGGCGAACACCTGGACGACCGTCCACGCTTCGCACCGGATGAGGGTGTGTAGAGCGCTATCAGCCTCTCCCGGGCGATCCGAACAGTAGTCGCACATCGGCGCGGCTACTTTACGAATACGATGTAAGTACTCGTTAAAGCAGCCGTGGCCCGACATCACTTGTGTGAGACGATATGTCATCTCACCGTGAGTCCGGCCCACCCACCTGTCCATCCGATCAGGTCCTATGAGGGACCTGGTCCACTCGCCTCACGTTGTTTCCTTCGAGAGGTCATCCGCCTGAGCGCCAGCCGGTCCTCGGGTTCGAGGGACAGGCCGCGTTCTCGGCGGAGCTCATGCCCAGCGGCTCGTTCCTCGGCAAGCAGGTCAGTGGGCGGCAGTGACGACAGGATAGCCGCCGCCACTCCGGACACCGTTCGATACGTCGAAATTGTCCGAATCGTCGCCCGCCTCTGCACCCGAAACAGAGCTTCGCGATTCCTGGGCGAATACTCGAGAGTATCCGCCAAAACTGGGAACCCGTACAGGAGGACCGAGTGTACGACGCTGACTAAAAGCCGTGGAGGAGTGAACTTGTACCTACTCGTGAACAAGACCAATTCGGTCTTGGTTTAAAATAGTAGGTGTTTCTATAAAAATTGCCCACGAACACAGATTTTCCATTTAGTAGANTAGATTTACCATTTAGTAGAGAGATGGCCATATACTCTATTATGAAAAACAAAAGACTTTATTTTGTCTTCACCATACCGTTTGCTATTTTGTGTTAAAATTCTCGATTTTATATTTTCATTGTTAACTTTATAATACTTTTTGAAAAATTTATGTATCGTAACATTCTTTTTTATGAGAAATAATATTTATATTCTTCTTTTATGCGATATACTTTCTTTAAATCGGACCATTACCTTTTTTACAGAAGGGGTTCAAAACTTAAAAATGCATATAAAAGTAAAACCTTTTCAACTTAATTTTTAAAAAGTTCCAGGAATACTAACACTTTTATATATATATTAAATTGAAGCTTATGTAATTATAATTTATCATGGAAAAAAAAATTCAGACTTTATTTTGATTTATGGTGAAAATAAATATCAAAGTTAATAAAAAAAAAAATTTTGTAAAAAAATTCTGTTTTATATTTTTAATTTTATAATGCTATAACTTTTTGAAAATATATGGATCAATACAATATTTTTATGATAAATACTATTTATATACCTCATTCATTAGGCATATTTTTTAGCTTTGATACGAAGCTGAGAAGGTATTAATTTTACCATGATGTGTTTTTTTTTTTATGTCTGTTGCCACTTTTTCTCAGCTCTCACTGGACCGATTTCTTTCAAAAATACGTCAAAAGATCACAAATCGTATGTAGTTGAAAACATTACCCATAAAAATTGAAAAATTTTCCCATGTTCCCCGAAAATGGGAGAAATATCCAAAAAAATTACAAATTTAAAAATCGGTAAATTTTGTAATTTTTTTCACTTTTTTTTCTTAAAACTTCCATAACTTTTTCAAAAATAAACAAATGAACATAATTTTTTTTTATACTAAATCCTTAGATATTTCCCTTTCATTTGATATAATTTTTTTGAAAATTTAACACTTATTCTGCTCACTGGGGCGATTTAAAATAGTAACTTTTTTACAAAAACTAACTTTTTCAACTTAATTTTTGAAGATGTTCCGGAAATACTGCNTCTAACTTTTTCAACTTAATTTTTGAAGATGTTCCGGAAATACTGCGTCATTTAAACATATATCAAATTAAAGATTATTTTATGTGCTATAAAATGAAAAAAAAAATTGTCCCGACACTTTATCTTCTGCATGTAAACGGCTGCCGTAGTTAAAAAAACTAGTGATGGGAAATATCGAATAGAAACTATCGAACTATTCGATAGTTGTCCACTATTCGAACTATTCGATAGTCATTTAAAAGATATTCGAATAGTAAAAATATTCGATAGTTTATGCTAAAAATAAACTATTCGGTTGTATAAACACAATTTGAATAGTTATATGATAGTTTAAAATATTTGAAATTGCCAATCACTAATTTTTACTATTATTAATTGTATAATAATTTATTTATAAGTATTCGATAATTATCTTCTTATTATAATTAAGTATACTTAATAAAAAATTTAGATAGAACTAATCGAATATTTTTTAAAACCATTCGGTAGCCCATTCGAATAGTTTATGCTAAAAATAAACTATTCAGTTGTATAAAAACTATTCTAATAGTTATTTGATAGTTTTAAAAAACTATTGAATAGTATTCGATAGTTCAAAATATTCGAAAATGCCTATCACTAGTCTTTATCGGATACCTACAAATGTACACTTCTAATCATATTTATTCCGCTAGATCCGAGACAAAATCTTGACGAGTTGCGCTTGCAGTTATATTTTAACTAAAAACGATTTTGATAACATATTAAGTCGAAGAATATTTCTGAACTTAATTTAGTATCATAACGTAATGGTTTATTTATTGAAACATTACTTATAATCAAAATTATTACAAAATTTATTATGGTTTTTTAAATAAATATTACGGTCTATGATTATTATGATTCGATTATAGTTTTTAAATTTTGTCGTATTGTTTGAAATTAATCTAATCTTTGGTATTTGATTGAAATTTCTGAGTGGCTAATNTCTTTGGTATTTGATTGAAATTTCTGAGTGGCTAATGTCCCATAGCATTCATTGAACATTTTCCTGTTTCATACATAGATTTTGAACAAAATATTTGTGAGTAAGAGGTAAGATATTGAGGGACTTGATCAGTGTTCGAAATC